GTTACAAAACTGTGTAGGATCGCGAAGCGAAACAAGGGCAGAAAAGCGATAAAACGTACGTCCTACTTGGCGCCGTTTCTCTAGCCCGGGAACTACTTCTATGCTGCATAAGCTACACGTCCATAGAGTTTTGCGTGGTGGGTGGAGAACTGCAATGAAGCTTGCGTCATCTAGCTAGAAAACAGGATTAGAACGGGACATTGTCGCGTTATGTGAAAACTTTTCCAGCGCTTTTCGTGCTCCACGTCCATTCACGTGGTCACCGACCACATATCGTCGTAACGTCTCGTACGTTATCGTCGAAACGACTTCAATTCACCCGCCTATCAACAACTGTTTCCGTTTTTTCTTTTCTTTTACCTTACCTTTCACAGACCTAGACACGATTTCTTACGTATAATTGCACGCCCACTGTGTGTACGTTTACTCGGTTAAAAATATTCTTGTACGCGTGTGCGGGGGCTCGACGACCTCCTTCGATCTACAAGCACAGAGGGCCTCCTCTTTATTGTCCGCGACATTTAACCGCGCGTGGCGGACGTTGCGTAAATAATTGCAACGTTGTGTTGCATAATGAAGCGAGGTTGTACGGAATTGTGCGGCTGGTATAGAGCACGAGACGCCCTCGCGACAATAAACACGGGAAACGACAACCGATGGAGAGGAGGAAAGAAGAGAGCATAGGCACCGTGGGACGCGTACAGGCCGCGGAAACGACGCTTGTATCGCGATAACGTTTCATAACAGCGTACACTTCCTGATTTTTTCAGTAGCGCACAGCCCGTTTACACACGGCCTGTGTGTGCGCGCAAACGCGCGAACAAAGCCGAGTGTTGCACGCGAACCGCTGCGACAGAGAGTGAGAGAGAGAGAACGGACGAAAAGTTTCTTGGGAAGCACCCGCGAACCCTTCACGAACTCGAGAGACGTCAGAATTCTTTTGTGCTTCACGGTAGAGAAATATTTCTTTCGCCCGTGAGACAAGAGAGAAACGTGTTGACAAAGTTCGAGACGACACTTGATGTTGTTTGGGGGAAACATTATTTCGCGGAGTAAGTGGGATACGATAGAGAGACAATAGTGTGTCGTACAAAGGACTCGTTAAACTTGAATTTCTTCGAGGCTCGGAGTGGTTCGAGTTGGTTAAGTAGATTAGAGACGGGTGTGAGTCAAAGTAACCCCTCTAAGCGCCGCGTCTGACTAGTAATGGCATTAATCTACTTAATTTAGACACGTATTCAATCCATGCCAGACAGACGTTTGATGCGAATTCCTGTAACGCCACCCGAAGAACTTAACGAAGTTAATTATGCTCGGTGTAATTTGCCGGAACGAATTAGACACTTCGATCGTTATATGGGGAAACGTGTCTGACCAAAGTGCAAGGGAAGATCGTTTAATTGTCGTAGACGGAAAGATTACGTTCGAGCTTGTTTTAGGTGGCTGAGAAAAATGTTAATTAACGCGTGTGTGTTGGGTTTTCTTTGCTTTGCAAATTTAATTGCCGGGAGAAATGTGCCGGGGCTCTGGAGACCTCCTGGAAGAGAGAAAATACATTTGTTGATATAATAATTAATTCTGTTTCGCTTAAAAAGTTTCTTTTTCTCAAATGTGATTGCAATACTGAAAGAAATGTGCCTCGGCACGTTAATGCGTTAGTTCTGTTACTCTAAGAAAAATTTCTTTCGAAGCATTGTGTATTTCCAAAGAAGCGCGTATCGTTTCCACGCATTTTTCCCCCGGAACCGGCGAAAAACTCCGATGCTCACGATACGTCGACAAAAGCGGCGGGCGGTTCGTCGAAAAGACCGGCTAATCGAAACGGAAGCTGAAAGCCGCGTTTAAATCGGAGCAGTTAAACGCGCGCGGGCCGCGAAAGGCATTGTCCGCCGGCTGAATGGCGCAGACATAATTCGTATAATTGCGGGACACGCGCCACTCACCGTTCGCCATTCTTTCGGCCGCAATACGCGGTGTTCCGCGGTATCAACCGCCGCGCGTACGCTGAACGGCAATAAACAGCCGGCGCGCGATGGAACGAGGAGAAGACAATTGCACCCGGTGTGGGGACACTCGCGAAAACTCTCCCTTTCTTCCCTGTCGTGCCGTATAGCGGAAAACTATACCTGCGCGGAGTTTTCCTCAAGCGAGTTCGCTGTTCAATACGATTTCCTTCCGTCGTTTCGCGACAGTAGTTGGTTCGATGTACCTCGTGCGAACGTGACGAGAAGTTGCGGGATGTGTCTGTTGCGCACTGACATAATCGAAATCGTAGCAAACTTTTGACAATTATACGAATCAGCTTCGTACAGAAGTGATCGTAGCTCGTGCCTCCGTCGAAGCATTTCTAAATATTCACAAATAAATCTAGATTTAAAGGTCCCGTACAAGAATACTCAAAATGTGACAGAAGCGCTTCATAAATTAAAAGTACACATTTTCCACGGAGAATCCATTAAAACGACCTACAGCAGAACCACTATACAGAAAATGAAGAATCTTTGAAAGAGCGAGGACATTTCCAGTGGAAATTAAAAAAATGTTACATCCCGACTCGCTTTCGGTGGAATAAAATTGATCGCGATAATAAATCATTCGGAGCATCGTTTAAGAAAGCAGCAAACAGTATTTCTGAATTGAAAACGATAAGAAAGAGGGTAGCATGAGTTAGGTATTAGAAGAAGAATGGCACAGGGGGGGGTAAGAGCGTGACGGAGGAAGAAAGTCGGACTTTTCGATCGGTCGTGTGTCGGCTGGCGGTGTTGGGTGGCTAGGGGGTGGGAAAAAATATGCTCCCCGCTTCCGACGTGGCGGCGGAAATTGAAGAAGTTGCACGAGACGGCACTGGAAATTATTTATTACTCGGTCGTCTCGCGGCCGCCACGTTCCGATGCCTTCGCTGCTTTACGAGCTGCCGCGGTTTCCCAACCTATCTCTCTCGCTCACTCTCTCGACTATACCCGAACTTCCTATCTACGTTTCAAGGTCTACGTTGTTGAAGTTCATCGTTGAATTATTCGGTTTTCGAAGCCAGGCGAACTTACGATTGGACGAGAGCGTAAAATTCACAGCTACACAGATTTAACTTGCTTTAAAAATAGAGAATGTTCATTCCTCCGCGGAGTAATGTTTCAAACGGACGATTAAAACGGCGCTGCGCCGACAATAAAGAGTAACGTTATAACAGGAACCAGTTTAAATTCCATAGCGTCTTATTCCGAACGACGTGGATTCCCCGCGCGCTGAGACAAAAGAGCGCGGTTGTTAGGTATCAGCGTGCACGAATCTCTCTCTCTCTCTCTCTCTCTGTGCTCTCTGCTTCGCCAGGAAGCCTTCATCGAAACGCTAAACGCGAAGGCA